TCTAATACCGAGTCTTTCAAGTTTGTTTATCCTGAGGACATTATAAGTATGACTAAATAAATTATACATAATACCGAGTCTTTCAAGTTTGTTTATCCTGAGGACATTGTAAGTATGACTAAATAAATTATACCTAATACTTAATACTGAATCTTTCAAGTTTCTTTATCCTGAGGACAGTGTAAGTATGACTAAATAAATTATACATAATACCGAGTCTTTCAAGTTTCTATATCCTGAGGACATTGTAAGCATGACTAAATAAATTATACCTAATACTTAATACTGAATCTTTCAAGTTTCTTTATCCTGAGGACATTGTAAGTATGACTAAATAAATTATACCTAATACCGAGTCTTTCAAGTTTGTTTATCCTGAAGACAGTGTAAGTATGACTAAATAAATTATACCTAATACTTAATACTGAATCTTTCAAGTTTGTTTATCCTGAGGACATTGTAAGTATGACTAAATAAATTATACCTAATACCGAGTTATTCAAGTTTGTTTATCCTGAAGACATTGTAAGTATAACTAAATAAATTATACCTAATACTTAATACCGAGTCTTTCAAGTTTGTTTATCCTGAGGACATTGTAAGTATGACTAAATAAATTATACCTAATACAGAGTCTTTCAAGTTTATTTATCCTGAGGACACTGTAAGTACGACTAAATAAATTATACCTAATACCAACTCTTTCAAGTTTGCTTATACTTCACTCTGTTGGAATGTACAAAGAATTAACATTTCTGGATCAGGGTTGCTTCAAAACTAGCAAGTTAGTATATATTGTGTAACATACTTTTTTAAAACTTGAGGTGTGGTTGTGAAAAAGAGTTGTATATTTATATTTTATGGAATTAAAATAAACATTCTATTCCAAAAAGAATTATGTTGATGTTCTCCTATAGTCCACTAAAATATGGTTATGTTATCAACTGTTCCCAAGCTGAAACACGTGCTTATCATAACGTGAAGCTAGAACTGTGCTCTATGCAGAGTTAGAAACTAATTATGATCAGTTTTTTAACCTGTTCAACAGCATTAAATCATAATTTTTCAGTCACTGGTAAACATCACAATAAATCAGATATAGAAAAGATGTAAGCAACCTCATAGTTTCCCAACCTGGTGGTGGTAAAAATGATCCAATATAATATATACTGCATCAAAACTGTTGTATTTTACAAAATTATTTCCAAACATTCTCAAAACATTGTCTAGCATGTATAAAACTGAACCTGTACAGTACCCATTAAACTACTTTGATACTTTAGTTACTAAAAATATCATACAATTTCTCAAGACTTTGCCAAACAAACAGAGATCTTTCTTATCACACAATTTAAAGGAAATTTCTGAAGTTAATCCGTTCCTATTCAATTCTAGTATTCAACTTTCAAAATATGTAGTAAAAAAATACCATTCCTTACCTTAACTTTCTTTCTACGTTTCTGACAGAAACAGTCTGAAACAAACAATTTTCATAAAAAGTTGAGATAAATATTGTAGTAAAAAAACAAAAATTTACATATGTGAATATATATATACTCATTCACATACAAGTTACTTTACATTTCTAATAAAACATAATTTAACTATACAGATAAGAACTGGAAAGTAGCATACAAATCCTAAAATAATAACAGTGCACTGAATTATCGCACACACAAAATATATAATTATATTCTGTACGAGGCTTAGGACTTTTTAAGTCAAATAATAACAAAGAAAGTACTTACTCGGTGCATTGTAATCTTTACCGATTTGTGTTTTATGACATAAAAAACTGCTAGTATATAAAAGTAACTACATAAATCTACTGGGTTTAAGGTTGGCTTTGATCTATGTACATAGATGTTATTGACAATAATCTACTGGGTTTAAGGTTGGCTTTGATCTACGTACATAGATGTTATTGACATTCACTACAACACAATGATTAGACTTTCTAAGGTTGTCACACTAGTTAGTATTAAGAATGGCTATAATATTGAGGTTTATATGCTGTTTCCCCATCAGAATAAACTTTTTTTAGAGTACATCCTACGAATTTTCATTCATTTATGCCCATATTTTATTTAGTTATTACAATGTCACAAAGTCCAAAGATATCACACTGATGTGTAACAGCTATCGAGTTATTAAAGTTTATGTGTTGATACCCAATCTGAATAAACAGAGAGACAGTTATTTATTTTAAGAACAATAAATGGGTTTTATCATAGCTTCAATGAACGTGTGTTCAGCAAACGTTAGCAAAGAAATAATAATGATAATAGATAAGTTTCTTGACTGATATCATCTCATACGGGATGAAAGACCAATTCTTGACTTGCAGATATGGCTACAAATGTTAGAGATGTAGTCGTTATTGGAGGGTCTTTGTGAACTTTGTACTATTTAAATAGTTATTAAAAAGTAATAAATAATCCAAATAAATTATTCCAAAAGAAACTGATTTTTTTACATGTTAACCTTTAAATAACCCAAAGAGCATCCAGAAAATCCCTAGACCACCAACAAAGTTGCCCCCCCCCTTATTTGAATTGATATTTTAATTCTGTAACTTAAAAAAAAAACTACAGTTTTAAGTTTAGTTAATTACTTGCTGTGCCTTTGCAAGACACGTAGAGCAAATGCTTTCAACCTCCAGTTTCAATTGGCACAAACAGATCAGAATGGTGAACCGTTTCCCCTGGATGGGATGCTAGTCCATCGCAGGTTAAACTCCAGGTAACAACTAGTACCCATCATACAGCTGGGTAAACTGGAACAAGTGGGGTGAAGTGTCTTACCCAAGGACACAACAGCCCAGTCTTGAACTCGCAACCATTCAACCACGAGTCTAAAGAATAAAGCCAATGAGCCACGCTGCCCGTTCAATAACGGAATCTTTGCCTTGTATGTGTTTTTTACCTGTTGTCACATACAGGTATACTTTAAGAATTGAAAATTCAATGTTAAAGAAATAAATTATGCTGTAATTACTTTAAAACTAGATTGCAATGAAATTATACAAATTTGAAAATAAACTCTTTTTCAGATGGCTTGCAAAAAATTTCATTTACAAATTACAACTGTTTGATATTGTGTTTTGTTTTTTTCCCTTGGATATTTGGTAAGTGAAAAAATATTCTTAAACAAAATATATAAACTAGTATCCCCGTTTAATTTCATAAATATTTTACTCTCTCATCACTTCCAACGTTATCCAGTTGTTTGATTCCTTAAACTTTTAAAAATATGTAAGGTTATGCTAAAATAATTAAATGTTTGAGAGCTTTTCCAATTTATATCATTCTCTGAAACCTTCTGGTTTCTTCAGTGACCCCAAAAGGCCACATTAAACTGTAAGGATGTATCTGTCGAAATGCCTCGAACTGAATGCATATATATCATCTTGTTACTTTCAGCCAACAGCACAAAACAAAAAATTAAATACATACGTACATTTTCCACTTACTACAAACAACAAGATTGAAATTTGTGTGTACGATAATAGATCCAATTCACAGCAGTTGTTAACTGAAAGTTGAAATGGTGAAAGCTCAACATGATAGGATCTTGGCCACATCTATATCCAAGCTCAAGTTCAACAGTCCAAGTTCCAACTCACAAGATATATTTCAACAAGACGGGCACTTTCACCCTGGAAAATGAGGAACATTTCTCTCATTATTCATTCAGTAATATATATACACACATATACCCTTGATTTATATTTTGACCCTCCTGTCCCCCTAGAGAAACTTCTATGGAAGCTCATGGATATGATTTAATGTCTGTTGATTTTGCAATATTAGAGTTGTTATTTAAAAGTATTTATTTATTTACCCACCCATCCCTCTGTGGACATCCATGCATATATTCAACATCTGTTTTTCTTAGTAACACATTTTATAAGCAGGATATACTGAGAGTGAGAACAACACTTACCAAGTTGGAGAAAGCTTCTGACAAAGAATCATTCGAAGGAATTTGTGTACACTGGGTAGCCATTTCTATAATGCTTAAGTTTATGTAAAATAGCTGGTGAAACTATGCCTGAAGAGGTAAGCTGTGTAAAATGAAAAACAAAAATGTAAACATAAGTGATACATAATATACTACAGCATACGTTCAATATGTAGAATTATACACGGACTTTCCTCTACGTTAAAATCCATTTATTTACGAACTTTCGGCTCACTTACCAGAGCATTCATCGAGTAACGGTGAAGGCTCTGGTAAGAGAGCCGAAAGCTCTTAAATAAAAGACTTTTAACGTAGAGAAAAGTCCATGTATAATTCTACATATTAATTTACCTACGTTATGAATCTTTAAAAAAAAGCAGTTTAAGTTTAACATTAACTGTGCTTGTAATAATCTAATAAGTTACACCAGTTTAAACACATAATACTCTTTACAACAATAAACTATAATTACACATCAAATATTAGTTCAAATAACGGGTTAGATATCCTTTTCATATTTACAACCTGACACTTACCGTTGTTCCATAGCTTGAACCTTATACTATAACAATGTATGGACACAATCTACCCTATGTAAGGTCTTGCGTTAGGCCTCATATGGATTAAACAAAACTCGGTAAAATAACTTAGCGCCACCTATCTCCCTATAATAGATTTAATATGGCGATCGGAGATAGACGAAATATTTGTTTGTTTGTAGTTAAGCACAAAGCTACACAATGGGCTATCAGTGCTCTGCCCACCACGGGTATCGAAACACGGTTTCTAGCGTTGTAAATCCGCAGATATACCGCTGTGTCACGTGGGGGGGGGGGGGGGCTTGGTGTATAAGAATAAATCGGGCCCGGCATGGCCAGGTGGTTAGGGGATGCTTGACTCGCAATCTGAGGAGCGCAGGTTTGAATCCCCATCCCATCAAACATGTTCGCCCTTTCAGCCGTGGGGGCGTTATAATGTTGGTCAATCCCACTATTCATTAGTAAAAAAGAATAGCCCAAGAGTTGGCAGTGGGTGGTAATGGCTAGCTGCCTTCCCTCTAGTCTTACACTTTTCGCGCAAAGCTACCCGAGGGCTATCTGCGCTAGCCATCCGTAATATAGCTTCAAAAACAAAACAAACAAACAAGAATAAATTATCCTTTGTAGTACATTGGTTAATGTGCTCTGGCTGTGAATCAGAGGATTCATGGTTTGCAGCCCATTGCCGCTAAAAAGCATTCGCACTTTGGTGTTGTAGGTGTGCTGTATTATTCGGTTAAACAAGAATAACCCAAAAGTTCACGTGGCCGCTGTTGACTAGATGAGTTCCTTTTGAAGTACAAAGAAAATTAATAGGGGGTTCGGAAGCATGCCCCTTTGGGACAGTTCGTAATTTTCAGTGAAAGTGGTGCATTTTGATGGTATCTGAAATTATTTCTATGATACATCCTTGAAATATGTTTTATGCATAGAATACTGCGATTTGGGGGGTGCTTTCGCATTTCTCTGACTACTCGGTTGTTTATATATATATTGTTACGTCTCTGGTCGTTTGTTAATTCCCGTAAAAATTCTTTCCGAAGAAGTTCAGAAATACAAGTTCTTTCTTAAATAAAACAAGTTTATTCTTTCTTAATACAACTTGCAATACACTTAATTTCTACAGTCACTTTAACTTAAACACACGCTATAATTCACAACGATTCACGACTTTACTTACGACTTGATTCGATTATCTGTCTCTGTATCTTCCTGTCTGCTATCATTATCTTCACTTTATTTGCCTGGCTTATATATTAAAAATAGAGGGCGTCTGGCAAACACTGAGCCTCCATGATCCTTCTAGAAACTCCTCACGTGTTAACAGCGTCACTTGACTTCCGTTGTCGTAACAATATATTTCATTTTGTAAATAACAAAACTGTCATGTTTACAAGAACTTCCAAGTATTTATATTTTCAAAGTTCTAACACAAAATTTTGGATTTTAAGCTAAACCTTCCTTTGACAAATGACATCTCCAACTAAATGAATAAAAATAATTGACAATTTATGCAGCTATAATTGTGATGAACTGCGCAATGAAATTATCTAGTATAGGCTAAAACGTAGCTTATCTTTAAATACAATTTATTAACCTACCATAAATTACTTGTTAGTGCGTTGGACTGAGGTTTAACAGATTTCAGACTCAAAATTAAGGCCTTCTGAAAAATACTTTATTTCTATATAATTGAAGTGGTTATTGTTTTTGCAAGTGTATATATATATATATATATATATATTCTTCTGAAGCCAGGAAACATGATGGCTTACTGTGCGAAAATAGTCGACTGCAATTCTATGTACGAGCAGTCGAGAATGAGCGGGATGTATTTTCATAACTCGAGATCTTGTGGTAGGTGACATACCTGATAATTTCACCCTTCCGTAATTTGTTTAAAATATTTTTAATGAGATACATTTAGGTAAAATTTCTTGCGAGTGTTCTGCATGTAGTTGAATTTTAAACTTGACCCGAAAAACGGCGCTAACTTGGTAACCCGTGGCCCGATTTTAACGAAACTTATTTTATTCTGTCTCTATTCTCACTTCATTACAAATATGGCGCTATTGTACGCCATTTTTGCTGTATTTAATTACAGCCAAACAAACAAACAATCTCAGAGTTTTAGTAGTATATAGATAGATTACAAACATTAAATATTGGGGCTAATGTAAATTATGTTTGTTTGATATATGATCTTTATTTACTAATATACACCTAGAAGAAAGTTTTAACCTGTGAACGTCTTCTTTGAAACAAGAGGGAATCGTCAATAGCCGCAGCACTTGAAATTCTTTTAGACAGGATTAAAGTAAATTGATCTATAAGACCCTTTATTCCTTTTTATTAGCTATATTTTTGTGCGCCAGAAATACCAAGCGTGGGTTGCGCTTATACCCGATTCGATTGTATTATTCATCAGGATCTCTACCAACCTACCTTTAGATTGAAATTGAGTAGCTCTGGGTTCCAGGCTAGTTCCAGTTGTAGGTTTGTGTGTGTGTCTCATTCTGAAAAACAATGGTTGGAAGCAGTGATGTGTTTAGTAGCTTTGCGACCCTCCCGCAAAAAAATACCTTGCGGCGTCCAAGAGGAGGGGGGATCAAAATCAAGGGAGGATGGGCCTGCCTTCAATGTTATGCAATAACATAACATCATTTTTTGATACAACATGGGATATATTGGT